TCCCTGCTGTCATAGACAGTGCTGCAGTGAACACCTCTACGTTAACTGGGCGCCCCACTGTGGATAGTGCAGGTGGAGCACTGTCCGCCCACTTTACAGATGCAAAAACTGAGTTCAGAGGGGACCGAGGCCCTGTGGGCACCCAGCTGGTGGGCAGGAGGGCAGCTCGCCTTTGAGGCCCAGTCCCAGGCCCTTTCCACTTCCTCACAGCCGCCTCTTCCAGGGATCAGAGCGCCTTAGACCAGCACTTCTCAAAAATGCAGATTCTGATCCAGTGGGTCTGGGGTGGGGCCCGAGCTTCTGCATTTCTAACAGGCTCCCGGGTGATGCTCATGCTATTGTTCTGGACACTGTGAGCATGAAGGCTTTAAAGTCCTAAGTGTCTAGGAGGCTTTTCTTAGGGACAAAAGGGGGAGTCGAGGGATGACATTAGTGGTGTGCGAGCCTTCACTGACCTCCAGTCTTGGCGGCACTTTGATCACAAACACCACAAGCTCCAGGGGTAGACGTGCCCACGCACCACACAGCGCTGGAGCAGGAAGGGCTGCAGGACACCAGCTGGTCCAGAAGACTGGGCCAGCCGAGGACAGTGACGTGCCCAAGGCCTCCGGGGCTTCAGCCAGATGCCACGACTCTGTCCCAGCCAGGACTTTCTACCTGGGCAGGCTCAGGGACACTAGAGACTTGCTTGCACGTGCAGGTGCTGGATCCTGGTCCCCACTCGCGTCTGAGTTCCTTTTCCCTGTGTGTCACCGCTGTGGCTAGAGCTTGGCCTGATCTGCTGGCCGGGGAGGGTGAGTGGGGCCTTGGATGGCAGAGGTGCGGGGTGCGGCCCTGTCTGTGCGGACAGGTGCTCCGCCAGGTTTTAAGCCTTCCAGTGGGGCCCGACTGCCAGGCCCCGTCCACAGGAGGGCTGGGTTCTCACGGGCTCAGCACCCAGCACTCCTCCCTGCCCGACCCCCGCCTGCCAGCAAGCCTGCTGCAGCCCCTGACCACGGAGCCCTCTTTCATCCATTCATCCTCCCACGCCGCAAGTGCCTGTGGGCTCCTGCCATGTTTGAGGGATGGCCCTAAGTGTCGTGGGGGACTCAGAGGTCAATGATTCAGAGTCCTTGCCCTCCCCAAGCAGGGCGATAAGGCAAGATTCACATAACTCTAAGGACATTACTCGAACTCTCCTGGTTTCCAAATCACAGGGACATCCTTGATTTCACTTAGCCGTTAAAGTCACCTGGCCTCTCCGGAGAGACAGTGGTCGAGCCAGGCCACCTGCCTCCGGAGGCCACAGCTGTGCCGGGCTCACCCCACCATTTCCGGGGAGTTGGCTCTGGGTGGGGAGACGATGAACACTAAGAAGGTGGGACCCTGGAGGGAGGAGGGACAATGGGACAACGGAGGTTGATGTCAATGTTCATGTGGGGTTCAACATTGGGGGAGCCCCCCTCAGGTGATTCAGGACCCAAGGAATGTGGAGCTAACGGGGGGGGGCACCTTTTAGAGATCTGTTAGTCCCTCCCTGGGTGAGGAAAGGAGCGGTATTTGCCCAAAGCCAGGCTGCAGGCGGGGCAGAGCCGAGGCTGGCGGGCCTGTCCCTGAGGCCACACGCCCCGTCCTGCTCAGAGGCAGAACAGGGGGCCCCAGGGTGGAACGCTAAGGCCCCTGCCTCCTCCGCCACCTCTCCCTGCCAGCTGCCCATGGTACTTCCTCCCCTCGGTTTAGGGTTGCAATTGCTTTTTTTTTAAAGGCCTGACTTATGGTTAGCAGTCTTGAATGCGTCAGTTAAAAGGTCAGTTTTTCTCTAAGCCGGGGTTACCCCAGTAAAGTCACTGATATGCTTTGAGGGCCACTGAATGTCCCCGTAAGGTCCAGGGGGGTGTCTGGACGACTGTGGGAGTGTGACATTCTGGACGGGCTGTCGAGGGGGGGAACCCGCTGAGACGGAGCCTGCGAGGTGTTGGCGGTGCTGGGCGGTGCCTTCCAGCAGATGGGGACCAGGCGAAGGCGGTGTGTGTGTGTGTGTGTTTGGGGGGCACGGAGGCAAAACCCCTTCACAGGCACTCCCCACCTTAGTGCCCAGGCTTGCACATGAAGGGTGGGGGGATGGCCGGTGGCTTTGGTGGGAGCTGCAGGGAGCATGATGAACCTTCCCCCCTCCCACTCCAACCTCCTGTGGAAGGAAGCTGGGTGGTGCTGAAAGGGGTCCCCCATCCTCCGCGGCACGAATGGGTCTCAGCTGTGCTTCCGTGCCCCGAATGTGCGAGCTGCGGGGTGGGGTGCAGAGTCCCGGCCTAACCTGGTGTCTCCTCCTCCCTACAGGCGAAGTAAGGAGGGTCTTTAGGCCTCACTCCCTGTTTAACAAAAATCAGTCCTCAGCAGACCCCAGCGTTTACCCTGCGCCTGTGTGCCTGAAGCCTTGGAGATCTGGAGCTGCTGAGGGTCCCCGAAATATTTACAGATTGAAAACCATCCTGGGCCTCTGCCTCCTCCCCTCACTGTGGGTCAGGAGCCCCTTGCCGAGCATCTACTGCGTTCCAAACACGCTGCCGAGCTTCTCACGGCACCCCCTGCCTTGGGTCTCCCTTCTTTTACAGAAGAGGAAGGCAAGGCTGAGAGAGGCCCACTGGGTCTTAGCGGGTCTGCCTGACCCCAAAGCCCACTCACGTTTCCCCACTGTGATTTGCAGGATGTGGGTCAGACACTGAAATACTCCCACGTGCCTGTGCCTGGCTCAGTGCTGGCCTTGGCTGCTTATGGATGGGATCAGTGCCCTAGAGAACTCTCTAGCTCTCTTTCCGCCCCTGAGGACAGGACAAGAGCTTGGCCGTCTGCAACAAGAGGGCCCTCACCAGAACCCTACCCTGCTGGCCCCGATCTCAGACTTCCAGCCTCCAGAGCTGTGAGCAAAACATTTCTGTTGTTTATAAGCCACCAGCTATGGCACTCTGTTCTAGCAGCCTGAACGGACCAAGACACCCTCATGGCCTAGAAGGGGGTGTATTTTGCTGTACCCAATAGGCGTGTCTGCAACACGAGCGCTATCAGATTCTCTGAACTTCCACAGCTTAACTGTATTTGGAGAAGAGGGATGAAAGAAGGTTCACTTCTGCAAAGACAGGAATCCTTTTGTGCTGCGATCTCTGAAGGAGACACTTGAAAGTGGTTACCTTAAAATGAGAGACACCTTGACAGTCATGGGGGGGGGGACATTGGGCTGCCACGAATCAGGGGTCTTGGGTTGGGTGCCGTGACAGTTGTTTAAGTAGGGGTGAGTTGTGTCGCACTGGGCCCCAGGCACCCCCCCCTTACATGGTGCAGTGAGGCCAGCACCTCCCAGATTTCACTGTGCCTGCAGTTCTTGATAAAATGTGGGTTCTGATTCAGCAGATCCGAGGAGGGGCTCAAGATTCTGTGTTTTTAACCAGCTCCAGGTGCTGCTGGTCCGTGGACCACACTTGGAGCAGCAAAGCTCTAGAAAATCTCTGAAAGCCCTTGCAGTGTGAATATCCATGACTACAGTTTGAGGTGGGAAAAGAAGCCAGGCTCCTCATGTTTAAGGGCTTCCTAGAAAAATGAAAAAGTTCTGGGCCCAATGGTCACACACACACACACACACACACACACACACACACGCATGCACACACACCATACGAGGAGAGACAGAGGCAGAGACAAGGAGGAACAGACAGAGGGTCCATGGGGCCAGGACAGACACAGCAAGGGACGCAGAGAATAGGAAAAAGACAGGAAAAATACAGACAGGCAGCAGCGCGGAGGTGGAGTGGGGAGAGAACGGGGGAGGAGGGGAAGAAGAGGTGGAAGGCCCCAGCTCTGCCTCGGCGAAGGGCGGGGTGTGCAGGCCGCAGCCCTGCCTGAGGTCCTGGTCCCCCAGAGGTGACACACTCCCTCCAGCTTCGGTCGGGTCTGCCTCAGCCCGAGGGGCCCCATTATTTGATGCCACGTGTTCCTATTTGGAAAGAGACCTCAGAGCGGGGGCCGTGAGACGGCGGAGAGCGAGGGGCGGGCGCTGCCCTCTGATGGAACATTAGTCATGCTGCACATTACATTCGCTAATGAGAAAATTACTTCAAATTGCCTCAAGGGATGGTTGTGATTAAACTATTTGCCTTGACTTCCTCTGCTAAATTGAACGTGCGCACTTAAGAGTGCGCCTGTGCGTGTGCACACACACACACACACGCACACACACACACACGCACACACGCACACACGCACACACTCACACGGGCGATCACACCCACCAGATCCGCTCGCCCAGGGCCTTGGAGCACGTTCTCTGGAGGATTCGGTTCAGCCTCTGACTTCCAGAGGGTTCGGCGCCCAACCTGCTCACAGTGCACGCCTCTCTTCCTGCTGTCATTCAAGGCCAGCTGGGCCCTGCCAGGTGAGAGAGCAGCTGCGAGTCTCAACCCCTGTCAACCAACCCCATTCCTGCAAGGTCTGGACTGCCCACGTGGCCTGAAGGGCTCAGCGTCTAGGGATGAGCTTGTCCCTCCCATCAGGTGTCTGTCTCTTAGAGAGAGAAGCATATTTGGTCAAGAATCTGGAGCTCTTTTCAGATCCCTCTTTATTTTCTCTGCTGTGAAACCCAGATTTTATTTGGACCTCTCATGCGTGAGCTGGGCCAAGCCATTAATATGCAGCCCTGTGTGCTAGTACAGGTTTTTGGAGCATATTTCAAAGGAAAACCGAGGCATACTCTCAAACAAGGATTTTTATGCAGCATTTACAGCACAGGAAAAGAATCCAAGAATTGCATGATCTTGATTATCAGGACATTAACATACATACCGCTCCCTCTCCTCCCAGTTGCATTCTCTTCGAATCCTGGCCACACTTCCAGGGCCGGTGCGAATCGTCCCTTCTCTAGGGTCTCTCTCTGACCGTCACCACATTAACAATTGAGCTCTCCCAGTTCTGGGCTCCCATCACTTTGCTTCTAGTTGACAGACTTCAACACACATTTATCGAGGCCGTATCGGTTAGCGTTTGCTAGGTTATGCTGTATTAACAAACACCCCCAACAACTCAGTGGTTTACTACAACAGCCTTTGATGTCAGCTGCATGCTGGCTGTGACACTGGCCTGTTCGTTCCGGGATCCAGGCCGAAGTAGCAGCCTCCAGCTTGGACATGCCATTCTTGAGGCTGACGTAGAAAGAGAACAACTGTCAAAACACGCGTGGCTCTAAAGACTGCTCAGATGTGGGACACGTCACTTCTGCTCACGTCCTGTTGGCCAAAGCAGGTCACGTGGCCAAGCCTGATGTCACTCCCCTTACCACGGGCGTCTCCGTCGGCCCACGTGACACGTCCTGCATGTCCAGGGTAAGTTCAGCGCCTTTGGAGTCATCGTTGGGAGCAGTTTGGTGTATGCACTTAGCACTCTACCACAATCCTCTCCCCACGATCGTTAGGGGCTTTTCAGTCACCACATTTCGTGGTCCTTTATTCCTTTCTAGGCAAGTTGCATGTTACTTGATTTCTTGGCTGTAGGCGACTCTGTCAGCCGCTCTTGTCTCTCAGCTTCCAGGCCCAGCTTCCTCCTGGTTCTCTTTCCACCCACTGGCCACCGGCTCTCGGAATCGTTAGGTCCCCCTCTTCCTCTAAAGTCCTTCGTATGTTATGGTTCCCTTTGGGCTGGGGAACCTCTTCCCTTGATTTGATTTCAGTGTCTGCTACTCTATGACCAGAAACTCATTTCCGCTGCCAAGCCTGGTCCTCCTCTTATGTGGCTGATCAAACACGGCCACGCCTTCTTTGCAGCTCCTCTTGTCAAGAAGTGGAATCTATTTCCTTTCGGGCCCTGTATCCAGGCTGCCACGTGGCCGGCTCTGATTGGCGGAATGTGCTAGAAGTGGTCTCAGGAGAGTTTGGGAGCCTGGGCCTTCAGAGCAGCCAGCCGCTGTGTAGGGAGGCCTGTCTGGCCCGCAGGAGAATGAGAGGTAGAGGAGAACCGAGGTGCCCCGGTGACGGCCAGTGCCAACTGCCAGGCTCAAGAGCGCGGCCAGCTTGGGCCTTCCAGCCCAGCCGACCCTCAGCTGGATGCAGCCAAGTGAGCGCGTCCAGGCAAGACCGGCACGGGAAGCATCGGGCTAACCCCTGGAATCGCGAGCAGTCACACACCTTCGTTGTTGTAAGTCGCTGAGTTTGGGAGTGGCTTGTCGTATGACAGATAACTGAAGTATCTGTATCCCCCAGATTGGTTAATGGCACTGCTACCTAACCAGTTTTCCAACCCCCAGACCCGGGAGTCACCCCTCTCTCCTCCCTCTGCCTCGAACCCACAGCCAGTGAGACCTGTCGCGGTGATCTCAGGGCGAAATGGGGATTGCTGTCTAATGGGTAGAGCATTTCAGTTTAGCAAGCTGAAAAAGTTCTGGAGATTGGGTGCGCAGCAACACGACTATGCTCAACACTCCTGGATAGTACACTTCCACATGGGTAGAAGGCTCAGTTTCATATGAGCATTTTGCCACGATTTTAAAAAGTGACCTGATCCTGCTTCTGATCCTGCTCCGCCCCCCACCCCCCCACAGTCCCCACCCTCCACGCTGCTTTCTTTCTGAATGACAGTTCCAGGCCTGACACTTACTTTTAAACCCAGAGCGTCCCTCCCTGCCCTCGGGGTAAAATCTAGACCCCATACGGCCAACTGTAAGGTCGCCTGTCCACCCTCGTGTCCCAGCACTTCTGCTTTCCCTAGCGTCCTCTCGTTGTTTGTGTGCCTTCCAGACCTTTCCTTGCCCCCAGCCCTCCAGACTCTGGCACAAGGAGTTTCTTCCACTAGAATGGCCTTCCTGCTTCTCATTCCACATTAGCATCACTCGCCGGCTCTTCAGGGGTTCCTATTTTTTAATGCCATTTAAATTACCAATATATTCAAAGCCTTGTGTTTTATTTTACCCTTTGACCTGGCAATTCTAGTTCTGAAACACTAGCCCGTGAAAAGCACACAAATGCCAAACGACTAACACACCTTGGGGGTGGCGGTTGGGAGCAGAGGAGAAGGCAGGGAAGGAGAAGTCATGGTTTATTGGGACAGTCCTGTCATGTCACGGGAGAGTAACATGTAAACACATTTGTGTCACTTGTAGCTTCAGCAGGTGAGGGTGTTGTGCCGGACACTTCTGTCAGTATCTCTAATCCTTACCATGCCCGGAAGTGTCTATTACTACCCCCATTTTACAGATGAGCAAATTGAGGCTCAGAGAGAAAAGGCATTTTTTTTTAAATGAACTTTCTGTTGAAGTATAACATACATAGAGACAAGTATACACATCATATGGAGAAAACCATGCCCTAGAACCTGAGAGAAGAGGTGGGTTGGCAGAATCACACGCTGTCAAGAGGTCAAGCAGTATACAACTTGCCAAAACAAAAGAAAACAAAACCCGAGGTGAAAAAAAATGAGAGCAGTTTTCTTTTTGCTGATTGAAGACGTTGATGGATTAGCACACAGTGAACGCGTCTGTGGATCTCGGCCCCACACAAGGAATAGGACACCCCCAGCGCCCCAGAAACACCCCGTGTGCCCTTCTAGGTGCTGGCCCCACCCTCCTTCCCAAAGGTGACCCCGTCCTGGCTTCTCCCCCGTCGCTGGGCAGTTTGCCTGAAGGGGTGCTGTAAGGACAGGACTCCTCTGTCCCGTTGCGCGAGACAGGGACGGGGCTGACCGCACAGTTCGGCTGCATCCTGGCCCTGGCTTCGCTCGGGACAGGCACGGACTGTGCTTACCTGGGGGGAAGGCCTTGCATTTCCTAGCAGGCAGAGCAAGGCCTTCCAGGGGGGCCCTCCGGGGGGGCCCTCTCTCTCCATGCACCCCAGGCAGGGGCGCCGTCTTCAAAGCATGCATTTGCGCACGCAGACACCCCCAGACACCCCCGTGACTGTCCTCGGCTTACAGCCCGTGGCAACTGCAGCCCTTCCTAGTGAATCCCCGCTCTGTCCCGGAAAGCTGCAGTGAACTCAGCGGAAGGAAGGCTTTTCAAGTGACCCTCCGTTTGAGCCCTGAGTCAAAGCCTCGTGTGTTTTCCTTCCTTTTCTTGACTGGAAGGTTATGTGTTTTTTAGCTACTGGTCAGACTGGATGAGACTGCCAAAAAGCTTTCAGGGAATTTCCTCACCATGTAACAAATTTATGAGTCATGTGAAAAACTGGGAAACGCTTCAACCCGCTGCTTCTTGCTGACTCGGAGCCCTTCTCACAACTCCTTGCTCTGGGGCCTTGGATGGAGCCTGCGGGAGGGTTTACTGGCCGTGGCCCGGGAGCAAGCTGTCTTAATCTCTGTCCCTATCTCCGTCCTCCGGTCCTCCCTGGCAGAAGGCTGTAAAAGTTCTCTCAAACCGTCAGCCACTGGCAGGGCAAGTGCAGAGGTGCTGGTGGCCCCGTGAAGGCCGGGCAGATGGGTGGGCGGGTGGAGGGAGGCAGGTTTGGGGCCCCATGCTCCATCTCTGCTTGGATAACCTTTGCGCTTCTCAGACTTAATGTGCCTAGAACTGAGCTCTGATCTCGCCCTCGCCTGCCCCACGTGATCTTCCCCATCTTACAAAGTGCTGACTGCATCTATGCCAGATTGTGTTTTCCGAAAATGGCCATGGCAATATCTCCATCCTGTGTGCTCTGCAATTCCCCATCTGACCCCGCCATTCCCCATAGAGAGGGAGAGTTAATTTTTCTACCCGTTTGGAATAGGCCAGGCCCTGTGACTGCCTTGAATGACAGAGTACGGTAGAGGCGGTGCTGCGATGTTTGGGGCATAGGCCTTCACTAGCCTGGAAGCTTCTACCTCCTGCCACTTGGAGTTAGTGTAAGAAGTGTGAGTACCCGGGGACCACCCCGCCGTGAGAGGCCCAAGCCATGTGGGAGAGCCCCTGGAGAATGGGAGGGTGGAGACAAGAGAAGGAGAGACAAAGAGAGAGAGAGGCTGAGGTGCTAAGAAGCACCGAGGCCCCGAACACGAGTGTAGAAAGGGAGACGCCATCTGGGACGTGGTCCCCCCGCCCCGGCCCCCCCGGCCGATGCCACGTGCAGCAGAGACAAATGACCCAGCCAAGCTCTTTCCGAGTCCCTGGCCCACAAAATCATGAGCAAAATAAATGGTTGTTTTAAGCCACTAAGTTTTGGGGTGGTGTATAACGCAGCAGTAGGTGACCAGAACACCACCTCCCCCGTCACCAGACTGAAAATGTCCTGTAGTCATCTCCACTTTCCTCTTTCTCTCCTACTCACATCCAATCTGTGTGAAGCTGCTGTTGGATTTATCTTCAGACTGTATCCAGAATATATCCACTTCTCCTTACTTCCTGTGATACTGTGATTTATAAGATAAACACACACACACACACACACACACACGTATAATATATACGTATTTGTCCTCCTCTGGTCCCCCGTGGCTGGGCCCCTGCATGGCCGCAGGGTGGCGGCAGCCACTGGAAAGACCAGGCGTGATTAGATGGCAGGGCCTTCATCACCACCCCCGGCCTCTCGGGAGGGGAGCGGGGCTGAAGCTTGAGTTGATCACCAATGGCTGATGACGAACTCAATCATGCCTGAGTAATGAAGCCTCCATAAAAACCCCAAAGGCCTGGGGCTTGAAGAGCTTCTGGATTTCTGAACCTCCAGGTTCCTGGAGGGTGGGGTGCCCAGAAAGGGCCTGGAAGCTCCACGCCACCTGCTGCATGGCTTGCCCCACGCATCTCTTCCCTCTGGCTGCTACTCCGTACCCCTTGTGATATCCTTTATTAAGAAGCCAGTAGACATAAGTAAAGTGTTTCTCAGCATGCTTTTTTTTTTTTTTTCCATAACGGCAACTTTCGTTTCTCTGCATTCTATGAGACGTGATAGCAAATTAATCGAACCCAAGGTGGGAGCCTCGGTTTGTAGCCAGTTGATCAGAAGTATCGATGACATCCTACCACTTTCGACGGGTGTCTGAAGTGGGGGGCAGTCTTACGGGGCCGAGCCCTCGCTCCGGGGGATCTGACGCTACGTCTGGGTAGATAGTGTCAGAAGTGAATTGAATGAGAGGACCTGGGTTTTTCCCTCTGTCTCCTACTTCGGCGGCTGTCACGCCAGCCCAAGCCACCGCCTTCATTTCCCAGCCTCTTACCTGCTCCCTTCAGTCTGCTCCTGCACCCGGGTTA